TTATTCTGCTCGATAAAATTACATACATAAATATGCATGATGCGTTTACGTTGTAATCTCCGGCATAAGTTTTTTTCTTTTTTCTTTTGAAATACTTATCCGAGTATTTCCATAGGAAGCCAGCAGCTTGTAAGGAAAAATTGACAATAGCAATGCACGAGGAAGTTGAAAATAAAAAATATGATCCGCGAGAGAAACGGATACGAAGGCGAAAGCAGCTAGCGCAAATCAGGTAGTTTGTAAACGGTTCACGGATTCGGTTGGAAGCTGGCTACAGACAGTCGTCGCTGGGCGAAGGCGGGGGTCGTAAGCTGGAGGAACCAGCGAATCCCAGAGGCGCCATGCTCACTCCATAGCGCTTTGGCCGGCGCGAAATTAGGCCGCGGCTCGTTTGGCGCGCTCCGCGTCCCTCTCGTCAGCGTGGCGGCGGCACGCAGAGTCTGACTGCTAGGCGGTGCGCGCGTCCCCGGAGATGCGCAAAAGAGCCTGCGACTCAACGAGCCACGCGAGCGCGCAAGGAGTTTGTCTTGCTCCAGTTGCGCCGTCGAGTGCCCTTGAGGGAGCTGGGCCACGCTTGCGCTCGCGCGCTGCCGCTGGATGCCGCCTCGAGAGGACGGCAGTCTCGCGAGAGGATCGAGCTTTAGCTTCGAGCCCACCGTCCGCGTGTACCTACGTACACGAGAGAAGGGCTATCGTGGCACACACCTTACTTGAACCACGCCGAGACCTGCTGAGAGGGCCGCTTCGCCAGCCGTCTATTATTATTAAATTTCACGCTGAACCTGTCAAAGCCTCAACTTTCACTCCCGCTACTGCACTTTTTCGATTCTACAATCCTCTTCGAGCCACTGACGTTTCGTCGATAGATATTTTAGATATTTTCATTTTTCATTAATTTTCAATTATTTCGTTAACTGCACTGACACTGTCACGATATAAAACGCACCGTACAAAATCCACGGAGAACTATGCACATTCAGACTTTTTCCTTGAAACAGCCATCAAACGCGTCGAAAACCATTATTTTTTGTTGGCGCGCTACAAAAGGGTAATTGAGAAAAGCGATTTTTTTCGACAGAGTGCAAACGCGCATCACTTTGTTCACTCGATTCTATATAGGCTTCTATCAGAAAACAACTCGTAGCACCGTCGATGTAGACATTTTTTGTGATTATATGTTTTGAAAACAGTTGCTACCATTGTACATTGGATATTTTCGATGAGGCTCCAGTTTGACATATATTACAAAATGACTTACCGGTAATATTTAATAAGAGCAATGGTGAAATTGAGTTGGCATTTAATAAACGATATTAAAATCATATCCGGTAAAGCTTGTGTCAGCGTTGAAAGCCTTTGAGACCAAGTATCCATATAGATATATAAGCAGTCGGGTGGAGGGATATCGAGGTAAAAAGCGAGGACGCAAGCTGCGACTTTCATGCACGTACGTCGTAGCTCGGAGGAGAAAGGATTTAGCGGTCTCAAAGAACGCACTTGGCTTATCCATAGGCAAATGATCGTTTTTAGCTCTCTTTTGCATACAACCCTACGCACGGCGGCAGCGAGAGATGCGGACGTTCAGGGCTGCGGGTTATACCTAAAGGAAGTATTACCTTGGCCGAGAGCCAACGTACGCCAAGCGTTCGTCTTTTCTCTCTCTCTCTCTCTCTCTCTCTCTCTCTCTCTCTCTGACTCTTCCTCGAGGGGATTCCTCGCTCCACTTATACGACGACGACGACTAGCAGGAAAGAAAGAGTCGCAAGGCAGACGGTTTGTTATTGGATACGGGACAATGCTCGCACGAGCGCCACGCTCGATCGGCTCTTAAGTGGCATACGAGGATGCGCTCTTATAGACACTGCTCGTTGCTGCTGCTTTTGCTACAAGCTCTACCACCCCCCACCCCCCTCGATCGCCATGGTTTATACACTTCACTACCTGATTTAATGGCTTTCCAAATATTTTCGGCCTCGGTCCTTGCTATCACACTTTATACGTAATCTTTTATTCTTCCGATTCATTTGCCCCGGAGTTACAATATATATATTAAATTTTACGACCGAAATTAAAAGCGTATTTTTGAATGATTGAAATATAGAATTGCGTCAAACTCAACATATTTATTTTCTGCTGTTGCGTTAGGACTCAAAATTTGTAAAAAAATCACGTATTGACAACTATGAAAAAATATTGAAAGCTCTATAAGTAAGATAGATGTTATCGGTGATATGATATGAAAAATAAGATCCGGTCCGATGTGTCTAAAACATTATTTAGGCGCTGCTTGCAATAAATCAATGCGATACAATACTGAAACAAAATTAATCTCAAGTAAAATCAGACAACACATTCATTTGTGAAATATAATCCGGACGTTATGTTTACGACTTCGGATACGGAAAATCGCACTCTATATATCGCAAAATCGGATCACATGGCAAAAATGAATGATATTCTCCATGACATATCCACATATGTACACGATTATAAAAAGGAATCCATTGATATCGTTTCAATGAGAAACACCTTCTCCCCAATAGTTGTTGAATGATAATGAATATCTTGATTACAAATATAATAGCTAATTATTTCTCACACACACAGTCTGATACGTTGCTGGCGAAGGCATCTGGCTTAGTGAAAGTACACAAACCTTGTGATCCGTTAAGCCTTTTACAGGTAAATAGCCCAAGGTTATTTATTAGCTAAATTTCTACTCTAAAACCTCAAATCAAGGATAATATTATGGAAATCGCATGTCAATAATAATTCTGACATGGTAAAACAACTTGAAATTGTCTCTCTCGAATCTGGTGATATATTTATATCTTTGAACGTGGTATCGTTATTTACTAACGTTCCATGTGAGCTTGTTGTCGACAGTCTGGATTGCAGAATAGAAAACAATAAACGAAAATATATCGAGTGCACAAGATTTTTGTACAATAATAACTACTTATTCAATAATTGCTTCTACTACAAATAAAAAAATGGTACAGCGATGAGTTCACCAATATTTAATTTATTCGAGGAAAATGTCACGAATGACTTGGGAAAAAAGATTCTTAAAAAATAAGTATGATCGTGTTTCTAAATTTTACTGTAAATACGTTGATGATACGTTTTTGATAGTGCATCGATAATATGTGGATACGGTCTTGAGTGTATTTAATGCTTACGACGAGAACTTGTAATTGACCTATAAAACTGAAGATGGAGGAAAAATTAAATTTTTCAGATGTCAGACAGATGAAATACAATAGAAAGATGATTATACAAATTGTTAGTAAACGTATTAAAAAATTGTATTATATTGACAATAGACCAACAACTGATCATAATAACCGTGACATTTGAGGTTCAATTACTACTATTTGTATCCTATACAACAGAACTTTCACTATGATAGCGTCAAACGGGAAATAATACGAGTATACCTATTATTCCTACAGGTAATATAACTACAACTTTAATTGGGAAGTGTTAGGTAGAAATGAAATAGAAAAATTAGACAGAACAAACTTAGTTTATAAAATATCCCGTAAAGAGTGTAATGCAGTATATGGGTTATTCTTGGCTATTTCGATTGACTTATAACCCTTAGGTTACGGATTTTTTTTTAATTTGGCACAATTATTGTACACATGAAAGTGAGATTTTTCCCAAATTTTGATGACGATACATTAATTATATCAAAAGTTATTAACAATTAAAGAAAAATGATAAAAAATTTTCAAACGACTATATTTTAAAAACTAATAAAGATATCGAAGTCGGATTTTGTTGAAAATACTTATAATGTCTTAAAATTTTGAAATAATTACAACAATAAACAATAAAAATTTTTTTTCAAAAGTTATTAACTTTTTGTTAAAACAATTGCTAATATCTCAAAAAGTATATTTTTTTTTGAAAAATTCTTGCTCCAGCGTGTTCCTGAGGATTTTTGCTATCGAAGTCCATCATAAAATTCAAGGGCCCGACATATCGGAAAGCGTAGCCTTAATCAAAAGAAGACGCCTCGGCGTAAGGCTGCGGTAGCTCTCCAGCGGACTCACGGTCAAAAGACACTTTAGCTTTAATCTAAAAAACTAATAAAGATACCGAAGTCGGATTTTTTCCAAAATACTTATAAGAAGATGCCTCAAATATCAAAAGAAGATGCCTCGGTGTACGTAGTAACGGCAGCGGGACGTCTTCGTGGTCTTACGCTAAGGTATCTTCTTTTGATTAGGGCTACGCCTTCCGATATGTCGGGCCCTTGAATTTTATGATTGATTTCGATAGCAAAAATCCTCAGGAACACGCCGGAGCAAGAATTTTTCAAAAAAAAATATACTTTTTGAGATATTAGCAATTGTTTAAACAAAAAGTTAATAACTTTCGAAAAAAAATTTTTATTGTTTATTGTTGTAATTATTTCGAAATTTTAAGACATTATAAGTATTTTCAACAAAATCCGACTTCGATATCTTTATTAGTTTTTAAAATAATGCCGTTTGAAAATTTTTTATCATTTTTCTTTAATTGTTAATAACTTTTTATATAATTAATGTATCGTCATCAAAATTTGGGAAAAATCTCACTTTCATGTGTACAACAATTGTGCCAAACTTAAAAAAATTCCGTAACCTAAGGGTTATAAGTCATTCGAAATAGCCAAGAATAACCCATATATTAGTGAAGCTAAGTAACCGTTAATTATTCGTATTGATGAACAGAATGAAAATTCCAAGGAGTTGTATAACTAATATACATATGTATAACTACTCGTACCAATTTAACTGGGATAACGCACAAATTTTGGACTTTGAATCTCAGTGAAATAAACAATAAAATTTTGAAATAATTCATATCAAAATTTAATTTCATGTATTCAATAAACACGAGGATACTTGATGTTGCGCCTATAATCCGATAATCTGTACCTTTTGAAAAAAAGGGATACATAATTTAGCTAAACTGAGCGAATTTTATTCAGTTGCCAGCCAACAACTGTTTTGTCAAGACGCTCACTGTATTTGTAAGTAGATTGAATTACCATTCATATTTGCAAACGTTTGCACGTTGTATATTTATTGTTGTTTCGTTTTCCAATAAAGTTTTGAAACGTCAACTGATGTACTAACTGACCTCAATCATTATTACCTCTAGAATTAAGTAAGAAAAAAATTCAAAATAATAACACTATTTTTAAGAAAATTTGCTAGTCGAGGAATTTTGAAATTTGTTTGAAATTATTATTATTTAATTAACTGTATTATTAATAATGAAATAATAACTTTTCAAAACTTGAATATTTTTTTTAAACTGAAATTAGGCTTATGGATGAGGTAATAACGAATAAATTCGATCGGTATGTTTCAAATAACAACAGCGCTTTCGAACTTCGAGTAGTTTAAGCAATAAAAATCGACACCATTACTTTTAATAACTTATTACGAATTAATTAATTAAAATAATCTTATCAAGTAATTATTTCACTAGATTTTTTATGTTTGTGCTTGGTAAATATTTGTTGAATATTCGTAGGGGATTTGGATCTGGCCACTTTGCGCTATCTTGTAATCTGAAATAGTAACAAATCAACGTTCACTTTAGGATATACAACATAGAGTAAAGTACTATTTTTAGTTAATATATTAATAATATTGTAAGATATTTGCAAATGGGTATGTTCCAACCTTTACTAAAAAATGTGTTGTAAATAAGTACATTTGTTCGACTTCTTTTCCAAATTTATTTATTTGACTATTTTAGCTAAAATATCTGTATTTTCATTGGCAATCTCCCTATGCACAGAAATTAAATTATAGTTGGTTTATTTCAAAATTTTCATCATTTCTCATACTTTTTCTTCTAACAGCTTCTTCCCAAAGGAAAGAGAAGAGGAAATTAGCCTAATCAGATATTACTAAGCCACAGACTTTTTTCTTTTCAAGATATCGTTTCACTTAATTGCAAATCATCATGAGCGGAAACAAGGATGAAATGAATATGACACAAGTGCTGGTTACTCGGACTTATAAATGGGTCATTGATAATTTTAGTGAAGAAGTCATGAAAGGTGTGCCAATGAGTTCACACCTGTTCGAGTATAAATATACCTTTGAAAATAGTAATATCAAAAAAACATACAAATCGTCCTGGGTACTAAAATTACATCCAAAAGGTTTCCAGAATGAAAATAAAGATTATATTTGCGCTGAAATTATTTTCTTTGATGACGAATATGAATGTAACTTTCTAGCCAACTATAAATTATCAATACTGAAAGATAATAATGAGGAAACGAATTCACATTATGCCTCAGTTAAATTCGATTTTAGTAATCTTGGTAAGTACAACAATTTTATTTAGAAAATGTTGTCCGTAACGAAAAATTATAAATCTATTTAAAATCAAAATAATACGTTTATATCGAAGTAAGATAAATATAATTGTATACAACTAACTTAGGGATCGTTATCTGAATTAAGCACGTTAGTAAGTTTTGGAATTCTATTGTATGCAACAATGAACTCACGCAAACGTATACATCAAATACATTATAACTGCTATCCGATTAAGCGTTAAGAATTCGCTCGTAATATAAGTATTTTCTTTTATTTCCGATGTGATTAGTCAATCAGTATAGACTATCTTATTAAAATTAGCAGTGATATACTTGAGAATTCAATAAGTAATTCACTTAAATATTTATGGTTTAAGATGGGTATTAATAGATAACGAAACAAAACACTAACGTAAAGGTCTTTTCTATCTTGTGGATACGTTATAAAACTTACACTTATAGATGAAATGTTTAATTATAAGACATTGTTTGGACCATTAATTATAAACTCTTTTTTAATGTATGCATCGGCGAATAACTATTAATTAATTTTATTAAGACGTGATAAAAAATCGTTCTTAGCATATCAAATTTCATTAATTTTGACTTCGTTTGCCAAAAGATAGTTTATACCATTGTTTTTTATGATAATTTTTCAGCCTACTTACAAAATAATTTAAATAACTTTATCTTTTCAGTTCTTACTCATCGTATATTTAGAAAGTTCATAAAACTCGATTGGATTTTGAATAACTTGAAAGGTTTGCTGTCAAACAATAAGTTGACTTTATTATTTAGTATTTTAATTCAGAAAGGAGAAAAAGTCATTTTGACGGAAGAACCAACTTTCAGAAATCGACTTCAAGTTTCTAATGATTTGGAATGTTTTTACCAGAGCAAAAAGTACAACGATGTTACTTTTATTGTCGGCAAAGAAAAATTCCAAGTTAACAAAAGCATTTTTGCTGCTCGTAGTCCTGTGTTCTTCTCTATGTTTAACTTGAATATGAAAGAGAAAAATGAAGGCAAGGTAAATATTAACGATATTGATCCCAAAGTTTTCAAACAGATGGTGAATTTTATATACAGCGGGAAATTGCAAAATGATGAGTTTCTGGAAGAGCTTTACATTGCGGCTGATAAGTATAATATCGAAGGGTTAAAAGATGCATGCGAACGATCTTTATGCAATAGTATTCAAGTCGATAATGCAATCGATATGTTTCGATTTGCCGATTCTCACAATGTATTCGACCTCAAGATTCAAGTTAAGCAATTTATTACGGTTCACGCGCCGCTCATCGTTACAACTAATGGGTTTCAGAACATGGATCCATCTCAAATTCATCTGATGAAGGAGCTGTATTGTTCGCTGATTCAGAAGTATCATTATACCGATACTAATCAATCAACCGGAAATCCTGGTGATAGTGACATCGAAAATGAAACACTTTAATTGTCTACCAATTTTATGATATAAGTGTTATCGCGTATTTAACATTTAATTCTTATTTGGTTTCACGTACATAATTGTTTTGTTTTGCCGCATGAAATATTTATATCGGTTTACGTCGTTTTTGTTGGTAAATAAAATATATGTGTTCGAGTAAAATATCGTCGGATTGATCGATATATTAAAGGTTATTTTTGAAACGTCAAACCGAGTATGATTTCTGCTAACTAAATGGAAATGAACTTGGAAAAAGTGGTAGTTTCTGATTGTCGAGAAAAGTGCAAAGTTAACAAAACGCTCGAAAAGTCAGGTGACTTATGATAGAACTAACTGTGGAATATAGCACGTCAACATTTGTCTTTCGACTCGGGTCGAGAGAAGTCGCGAGCAGGCGTTGCAAGCGGCGCACAGGTGGCGCATATGAGATTACTCTGGCGCGTTCGCGAGAGGCCAGGCGCGAAAAAAGAAGCGGAGGAATGCGCAAGAGGCGAGACTGAGAGCGACGTGGTGGCGTCGTCGTCGCGAAAACGTCTGTCATAAGTATTCATAGGGCGTTTTGTAATATGTCAGATATCCGGACGTGGATTAAGTCGGCCGCGCGGAGACGCTAATATATCCTCGGCTTGAAGCTTGCGCACCTTCTCGCGCGCGACTGCCTGCGCTGCTGCCACTGCCGCCATGCAGCGATGACATTCGACGTCTCTTATCTGCTCTCTCGTTTCTGTGTCTCGCTGCAGCTCGCTCTCTGCTTGCCGTGAGCTGCTGCCGCCAGCGCGCAAGACGTACGCGTCCCCCGTGGGCCGCGCCCGCAGATCCGTGATTTGAATTTGAACAACCCAAGCCGCTCGCGAGATCGCACGCGAGCATAATGTGGAATATTTTTTTCATTTTCCGAGTGAGTCTTCGACCGTATTTAATCAAAGAATGCTTGGTTCGCTATACGTGTGCGGCTCTTCGAATTTTCTGATCGCATCGCTCATTGGGAAATGTCGGTATTATATAGTTCAATTGCTTGCGACAGTATTTTTGTAAATGAGTCTCGAAGACGTATAACACATAGGAGAAAGACGCGAACAAATACATAGATAGTAGGTAGTTGAAATAAAAGCGGCAAATACAAAAAGATCTTTTACGGTTGGTAATCCTCGGGCTGTCGGAAAAATTACGGCGGGCGCTTGGAAAAGAGATTTTTTTTCGGGGGAGAAAAAGTCGGAAGAGGAGAGAGCTTGCGAGAGGTTGCTTGGGAGAAAGAGAGAGAGAACAGTGTTGGGAACGAGGAAAAAAGGCCAACGTGCCGTGAATATCGAATGGGAGGAGGGTGGTGGTAGGGCGAAGTAGAGAATCGGTTGGGCGATAAACGACGCGATTGAAAGCCCGGGGATCGTAGCAGCAGCACAGCAGTAGCAGCAGCAGGAGCAGCAGCAGCAAGAGAGTTTCTCGGGCGAAAACCCATAGCCAAGGATATCGATAAGCCATTCGTATTTCTATTCGCCCCGGAGCCTTGCAGTTGGCCGCTAATGCCGAGTTATTAAGCACCACCGGGGCCGCCGAGCCCCGTATAGGTGAACCCGAGACTTTGTTTCTCAAGAGAAGATTATCTCGCCCGAAGGAATGGCCTCCCAGAAGCCCCACGGACCATATCTCTTTTAGCCGCTAATTATCTGCTCTGTGGAAAAATACGCTTTCGAGCGCGCACCGGCGATGCGTTAATTAAATACGAGAGGCCTGCTACTTGGGTACTCATTGCTAACAACCGTATAATCTGACAATTGCTTTAGTCAAAGTCCTTATATTCAAATCTGTTAAGAACTCTGTACTAGATTTATTTTGAAAATCAATTCCCGAAAAGAATATTTGATAACTGAAATAGTCTATCGAATCTTTCTCGAAAAATGCTATGAAAACATTGAAAATGTAAATTGTTCGGTGTTTAACAATAGCAGGAGGCGATCGGAGAGAGAAAGAGAGAGAGAGAGAGAGAGAGAGAGAGAGAGAGAGAGAGAGCTAAAGCACCTCTTCATAAGCATGCAAACTGCGTGGCAGGGTGGGCGTGCACGTAGCCAGTAGTGTATCGAGCTGACGCATAGTCGGATTTGCGCGTGAGATATTCCGTTTCAGGTGCTCTTGTCGAATAAGTCCTGCGCTGCTGCCGGAGGTAGTTTCGTCCAGTCTACCTCTCTCCCTTATAACCTCTCGAGCATGAGCCATATTACGCTGATCCAGATTCAATGGTAGCGAAGGCTGAAATAAATGGTTCGTGGAGATCCCCTAGATGGATCTTTCAGCGGAGGGACCTTTCGATATTACCAAGTTTTCTAGCAGTAGTTGTGTAGTCGTCCTCGTAGCTGCACAGCGGGGTTCAAATCGAGCGTATCACGCCAAAGGAGAGCTTTCGCCGTTGCGTGTTTCGTATGACGATGGCCGTTATGACTACTTATTTCTCGCCTATACTCTCTCTCTCTCTCTCTCTCTCTCTCTCTCTCTCTAGCAAGGTCGATATATGACGACACGGCGTGTTCCTTTCTTGTTAAAACGCTGCGTGCGTGCTTTTTTCTATTCCTTCGTCTTTTTCTTTTCGCAGGGGAAAAGACGCTTTTCTTATACGACGGAAATGAGCCGGACAAAAGTATTGTGTTGCAGCGTTAGACCGATGGCGAGGGCTTGGCTGATTACGTAAAGGGATGCTGGAGGTGATGATGATGTTTATGAAATATGAACTGCCGACCGTGTCACGGGGAGGAGGCGTGACGTTTCGTCGGTGTAAAGGGCTCTCGTCATTATTTGCATTCGATCTCCAAGTTATTATTCGCATCCGATTCATTGGCAAACTATCTACTACGCAAGATATTTGTAATCGAAAAGAAATATCGCAGCTTGCATTGGTAGAAGTAGACGTGTCCTCTGCGAGGTGGGCAAGTCGCAAGGAAGTCGAATCCCGCGGAAAAAGAAAGGAGGCTTTCGATCGAATCCATTGTAAATCACGTACACACACACGAAAGAATAATCGTGCAGCGAAATGGCGAAATCGTTGCCAAAGACTCAGCCAGCGAAATAACAGCGATTTGCCGGGCAAATCAAAAGCGCAAGCTGCCAAACAAAGGGCGAAGAGCTGGGCGAATCTAAGGAATCTGTGGCGTTAGCTCAGACGCGGCCAATTGTCGTGAGCCTTCGGAGAACGTTTTGGCAAAGCCGCGTTGCGGCAAATATGTCGCGCGGCGGGGCCAGTGTTGCCATCGACGAGCAGGGAGCGCAGATAAGAGCGACGACGCGCCGCAGCGAGACCGCGCGCACGTACACGAGCCAATTTGGCGCTATACACTCTGCATGCGGGCTGCGTTGCCTTTTCTGGCTGAGCTGCTCTTTCGCTTCGTTGTCTCGCCATTGTGCGCTGTGTATGTACCTGCGCCAGGCAGCAGTGCCTCGTGCTCGCCGAATGTCGAGAGCGCTCGAGGCGCTTACCGCACTACCTGCGCACGCAAGGAAAAAACAGAACGCTCTACGAATATCAAAGATTTAATTGCGACTGGCGCCGCTCGCCTCGGCAAATTCGCTGGGGGGATTGATGCCTTTCTCGCGTGCTTGCGAAGTAAAAACAAATGCTACCTCTCTCTTGCGCGCAACAGTAGCAGCTGCTTCCAGGGATGGATATAATTGAATCTATTTTTTTTATCGCGTACCGAGTAAAAGCGCTCTACTGCTCATTCAAACGATTAAAACACATTATCTTATTTGAAGGGATGCAATGACAACGCGATTATCTGGCGTAAAACAAGTTTTCATTAACACTAATCAGAGAAACAAAGTTTCGTGTTAAGTAGCTTACGTGTACACACACGCGCGCGCGCATACCATTACGGGAGATGACGCTTACACAGTTCGCCTTCTCTCTCTCTCTCTCTCTCTCTCTCTCTCTCTCTCTCTCTCTCTCTCTCTCTCTCTCTCTCTTTCTCTTTCGCAACCGGTGTCCTGCGCGACGCTTTACTTCATTCTTACAAACTCTTTTGTTAGACTGTTACCTAATAGATACATATGCCACCCTGAATTTTCATGTTATTTGTGCCACTTTTACAAAATTTTATCGTTTCATTGACCCATCACTTTCAAACATTATATTTTGCAATTGCTATAGAATTACCTCTTGTGAGAAGAAATCTCACGGAGTCGTTGCGTATAATTCGTCGCGGATTGGACAATGCACCCTCGCAAACATCGTAACATTGATCTGTCTAAAAAGCATCAAGTCCAAATAAAGAGAACCACTCGAATCACTATACATTAGTGGAAGTTAAGATAAATTTAAATTTCGCGCCTGTCCTTCGATCCCTTGAGGGGAATGTAATGAGATACAGATGCGGTAGGCTTCCGATCTGATAAAATCCTCACTCCTGTTTCCTTTCGAATGTATATATCCGTCAGATGCTAAAAAAGATCCGAATCTTAATGTTACTTTCAAAATTCAAAGTACTTTAGTCAGAAATGCCACACTGAATTCATTTTCCGAGGTGGTTATTTTATCAGCTCTCAATCTTTGTGAAGCTTTGAACTTTAATGAAATTTCCATATATTCCAGATACACGCGTACTTCAATCAGCGCTACTCTCTACGCAATTAGTATTTTCGAATCAAAGTGCATACTAAAACAAGAAAATCTATATGGAAATAATAATTCGTTTCCTCGTCTTTAGTTTACGTGATTTACGGTACTCTAAGACGATAACGACATTGATTTATAGCATTGGCAGGTAATTAATATATTTTCCTCGATGAAAAACCATAACCTCTTTTACCCTGAAGCATCATTTATTGCGCGATACATATTCTTTTAATAGGTCCAGAGGACGTGAAAAATGGCACACGAAGATGCCATAAAAAACAAAGTAAGCGACGAACTTTCAGTACGTGATCTTTTATAACGGTTTCTCCTCGAAACATCATTATAATTTTCTCATAAACTGAATTCTAAAAAACATTGTGTTAATTCTTCATACTAACTAAATTTTTACCGTCTGGTTGACATAGTATAACAAATTTTACATAAACAATAAATGTTGCCATACTCGTGAAAATAAGTAATATGCAAAAATACATGTTATTAATACATGTTCTTGCAAGTAAGGAAAGTTATATAACTCTAGAGACTACGTGTCGTTTCATAAAACTAGTGATGTTTAGCCCGCTTAGCGTGTTCACTTTTTCCGTCTTTTTTCGTATTTATTTTAATGCACGAATATAGATTAAAACTTTTATTAGTGAAATTAACTATTCGAAAATCCAATATGATTTTGTATAAAATATAGCCAGCGATATTATTTATTGGTAAATAAATATGTAGTTACGTAGATGCTCATGATTAAAAAATGTCATCACTGAAAAAAAATGTAATACAAAGTCTAAAAACATTATAGTAATCTATAATTACCTTTACGATGTAAACCTTCTTCGGTAGACGGTCACGGTTGTAACTAATGCATTTTCAGAAATGTTTTCTAGTATTTTATGTAACTGAATAAAACCGGAATCACTGCACAATATTTTATCATGATAATCTTTTGATTTATGGCTTTTGTTGCCTACTTTATTTATTAAAAACTAAACTTTCACATAGAGCAAAGTTCAATTAATTCCTCTATTGCGGCATCAGTTGGTTTTTACTTTAAAGCTATTAGGAGTAAATCAATCAATTCATATTAAATTCATGTTGCAGTAATTTTTCACGAGTGTATACGACACATTTACTGTCGCATAAAAACTGATTACGTGACTATTTTTCAACCAAGTAGATCACGAATAAATTGGTTTATTTTGTCAGGTTTTCTTTTTTATAAGAAAAAAAGAGGAGGACATAACTGAACTGTCACCAAGTAACTGTACGCAAAGTTGAATAAACGTATTCTGTAAATAACCGAAGTATTTTTCGTTAGCGTTAAACTATCTTAAAGATTCCATTATATATACGTTTACGAGTACGGGAAGCATGAAATTGTTACATAACCTTTTCTTCGTAACGTGCTATCATGCGGAAACGAGTATATGATCTGAGGGGACTGTCAGGAAAAATAAAAGGTTATTTTAGGCAAGCCCATGGTCTACTTCTCACTGAAGATGATAGATGCTTGTCCACTTATGGTTGCCATAGAAAACTATGTAATAAAATGGCTTCAGAAAATGATTTGGTCAAATAAAATTAAGAAGCTGAAAAATGATTTGAAATTCGGCAATCTTATTAAATCAAATAATCTCCAATTTAAAAAATGTAATAATACTGTCTGAAAATATGGTTGTAGTTGCAAAGACATTTACATTTTTAATATAGAATTACGTCCCGTTGATATGGTTTTAGAACTTGTGGAATCTATTCTTTCGTACCTGTGCCATAATTAAATCCTACAATTTCACATTGTGTTAATTATTGTTTTTCAGGGCTTTTACTTTCTCCAATGCAACTGCAACTTGTGAGAAGCAGATAGGATTTTGAACGAACGCTCGAAATTCGCTGATACTATTGAACGCACTTCAATAATCAGAGGCAAAAAGTCAAGTCTTCGTTGGTTCCCCGGCGAGGAAAACAAAGACAGCGCAGAGAAGGTCGGGCACTTGTGATAGGTGAAACGTAAATGATTTAATTTGCTAACTCGATTTGAAGAAGAGAGAGAGAGAGAGAGAGAGAGAGAGAGAGAGAGAGAGAGAGAGAGAAAGCGAGAAAAAGAAGTTAAAGCCGGGGAGGCGAAAAGTCGTCGTGCGCGCTAAAAGAGAACAAGTGGAAGAGAGACACGGCTACGCTCACAGCCTCGGATCCATCTCTTTCTCCTGATGACGAGGCGGCGTAGTAGCAGACGACGACAAGCCCGCTTTCTGTCTCTGTCTCTCTCGCTCGCAGCGCCCGCGGTTATACGCGTGGGGTAATCCGATTTGCTCTCGCTGATTCGATTTTCAATTTTCTCTCCCAGACAAGCGCCTACACGCTGTTACGCATTTCCTTGTCCTGCACGTTTTCTTCTTTCTTTGTGCCAATATACTGCGCACGCTCGGCCCTCTCGGCTTCGTTCGACTCGGCAAAACAGAGAAGGAGACGCCGAAGAAAGAAAAAGTTTACCCGCTGTACTTTGGTTAGAGCGAGCAGCGAAGTCTAAACAAGTTGGCAAAGAGAGACGCTCGACCGCATGCCTCAAGTTTGTCAGCGGTAATCGGAAAAGCCTCATCTTTGCAAGCACTTTCGCAGCTCGATCGAAAAATATCCTCCTCGAGCACTGCCCGCCACGGCAAAAGCAGCGCGCTCGGTCGTGAGCGAGCATTGTATCGGGCTGTGCACGACGAAGGGAGATTTAAGAGCGCGAGCTTTTCGGCGCGACAGAATCGCCCCGAGCGTTGGAATATATAGTTCTATGTGCAGTGTGTAACCCGGTTAAGAGGTCTATTAGGGAAGAGCTGGGGCGCAACTGAGAGACCATTACCGGTTGGAAAATTGCTTAGTTTCGAATTGGTTATACTCGTAGAAGAGCGGCTGGCCACGCCTCATCGTCTCCCGATTGTCGATACCTACGTGCCCTGCATCGCATATGTGCCGCTACGCTTATTGGATTTTTAATACCGCTCCCAATCCAATTGGCTGTTTTAATTCTAGATAGAATGCGCGCAAGAAACGTGATTATCTTTCGGAGAAAGGATTGTCGCGTTGCTTCCTCGAACGATTCGTTTGCAGTTTTTAATTGATATGAGTGTATTCCACGATGATGGAATCATGCAGCAAGTTCAATGGCTCTCTACTATTCATTCCCGCACAAATATTACTTTTCTTGGGTATTCGTTAAAGACGTCACGTTGTGCATTAATATTTTACGTTAGGTACATATTAAGTTTTACATTTAATGTTAGCCGACAATCAAATCTGCAGCAAATCAAAAATATATTCAAACAAATTAACAAAATCTATATATTTAAGATTGATAAAAGCTATTTCAAACGAAGAATCAAAACAATCATTGACACAAAGAAACAAAACAATTATTTCGACAAGCACATTGCCTTCGCTATGAAATTTTATGTTCTTTACGTTCTTTGGTCAGTCAATCATTTAAATCAATCTTATCGAATAAAGTCCATTCAATAATTTCTTTCATAATGGATACATTTATTATATTATGAATTATTATAAATTATGGTATTGAATAAAATTTAATTTATTTACCGAATTTCCTAAGTATTTTCGCCTATTATTTTGTAATGGGCTTTCAAAGTTATTGGATTGTGAATGTTGGAAATAGTTAATTTAACATTCAAAGAATTATATTAATTGCTAATATCAAACCAATACATGTGTGCAAATGAATACATTACGACGCAATTCAATCCATTGCCATAATCCATTATCATTACAAAATATACAATAATCTATTCTCAATGTATTATGGAACCGACATAAAATTTGTAATCAATCATATCTTTCATTTATTCTTCATTACATTCAGCTGATCGTGAACACTGAATAGTTACACTATGAAAATAAACGCTAAGCGTGTCACGCTTATGACATTGCGCAGGCGACACTTACGCGCCGATGCCTCTGGCTTTAGTCGGCTTACTCGTAATTTCTTGCTTCTTTCGCCGGCACGCAAATAGATTGACAAGCATGCTTCTTGGAATTACAGCATGGCATAAGAACATTGGCTGTACGATTCGAATAAATTTCAAAATCCAGAGATTCTCAAAGGACGAGCCCAGTACTCCTGTAAGGTAAGGGGCAACCATCAGTAAATACAATTTTAAATACAAAATGTATTTCTTCTTCACTCTAGCCTTTCGATTCTCGTTGGCCACGCTCGTGGATTTTTGTATGTTGATCATTTTTATAGTCGAAACAATAAAAAGAACGTTACTAGCTATGGCAACCAGCACTGGAACGATGGCGGTATGTATGACGACTCGGTAATTCACCGTTGACATGTTGTGAAAATTGGGCTTGATAAAGTGTTCATCTGGGATCGGCGAGAACTGTAATATTGTTGAAAAGATCGCTGGTACAAATGTGCCGATAGAGACCCACAGGGAATAAATTCGAAATTTGCGATTCTCATCAAGGCCTTTGACACCTGAAGCCGGAGCCCAACGGAATTTCGTTATTGTGGAGGCTACATCGAAACTAATGACTAATAGCCAACAACAACTTGCTACCGTGAGAGTCATCAGAGATATCCCTAGCAAAGATATGGCTAATCTGCCGAGATGTTTGTGGCAGAGTATGTAGTGGCCAATAGTGATAATTATGAAACTTAATAGGACTTGCACGGTGATAAATGTCAAAACCGCTTTGTCGTAAGCTCTCCGACACATTTTTGGTATGATAATATACAGTAAGAACATTGGTGCATAAAAAAACAAATATATTATATTGGCAAAAATCATCATTTTCGCTCCATAAATTTCCACGATCGTGAATACATTGTCGCATTGATCTTCTGCCGATTCACGGCTGATATTCCTACATTCGAGATACACCAGACTGCCATTTCTCTGGATTTCGAGGCAGCTTACGAATGCATTCCAAGGTATCATTGAATGGTTTTTATCTAAATGTGTGTCGATTTTACCTGGAAACATAAAGCAGGAATACCAATCCATTGACTGTGACCATATAAAAAGTAGTAATATTTGGTGTATACGATTAAATATACAAGATGAAATGAAATTTTTATTACATATAAGCTTTTGAGGGAAAGTAGTGAATATTTTTCAAAATTATGAGTTTGTAATATCGTTGTAAGAATATATATAGAAATACACAGAACGCATCATGGTATTCGCTATTGTATTTTTCTAAATATGCGCTTCTTAACTGTCTAATCTGTTGCGCTCTCAGTTAGTTGAGCTGACGACACGCTCTCGAGCACATCATTGTATCCTCACTGCGCTTCATTGTCGCATATACGTAATAAAATAATACTATTTAAATTGTGTCGTTTTTCATTAATAACAACAAATATAATATTATTTCTTAATAAAGAATGTTACTGTTAACAGGTAATCCACCACAAAAATTTTATTTTCACGCCACTTCTCAACTTCTTACCAAGGATTTCTTAAATCTGAGCTACAAGTTATTAATTCTTTTCCAGAGTAATAGGGCAGAGTAATGTAATTTACTCGTATAGAAAAATACCCTACTATTTTTTAAATAGTTGCAAGTTTGACTTGTTTTCGGAAAGATTATTCATTCGATGGTCGCGCCCTTCCGATAGCACCTTAATTGGGTTGTTGCATTACATTTAGTTTTGAACATCGTCATTTTAGGCCGATGATTTTGTAGCTTTCTGCTTGGACATTAATGCTTCTCAAATATTAAATTTATCAAAATAATTAAATTTATCATATTAGAATTGTATAAAATTAAAACTTTTTTACAATTATTTATCTCTACTGTGAATCAATAGTAATCCGTGCCAGATATCATGCTACTTATGTCATTTGCAAATTCGGCTAACAGTGACCTTTCTATTGATAATACAAACGTTCTCTTTGACAAGATATGAGGCCACGCTTTCCACTTGTACAGGCATACAGTCAATACAAAAAGTTTCCCTCTATGGTTTAGCTAAATTATAAATAGGGAAAGTTTTAAAAATTATTCAATCTAATATCTCCATCCAGATTAAAATTATACGTTTTCCAGTAGATTGTGACGTCGTTTCAAAATGTTAGACCGTGTTATACATAAATTGATATCTGGAAAGTATTTTTAGATTTTTCATTTTTTTTGTGAGAAAACGATTGCGGTTAAGTGCGTATTTTTACGATTGGTAAATTTTTTTGGTACTTAGTATTATGAACTTACATCAACTGACGGGAAATAACGATAAAATAATAATTACAATGGACGTATATAGTTTATTATTTCAAACACCACTTCTTATACAAGTAACATTTTAAAAAAGCAACATAGGGCATGATTAGATGTATCATTAGCTACATTTTAAATGCCTGCTTTATACTTGCTATTGGAGCATTACGGTGGAAAATTAGTGTAAATAAAAAACTACTTTCGTACCTTGAAAACACGATTTCAGGCGAGTGTCATTGGTGGCAAAGTCAAGCTCCTCCAAAATCTTTTGGTATGCGATCTGGTATTTGGCTTCTTCAACTTTGATACACTGGTTGAGCTCATCTACGAGGACAAAGCCGTGTTCGCAGCACTTGAGCAGCGCGGCAGTGTCAAGGGCAATCGGTTCAATTGAATCGGGAAGACTGGCGAGAGCAAGAATAAAAATAGGGTCGATCAGCAACCTCGACATGTTTTCCTCCGCTCGGCAACAGAACTGGTCAGCACACTTCGTTGACTGTTTTGTCAGCGCACCGCAAAGTCTGTGAGAGCGCCGATGGGTGACGTGCTGCGCTCACATCGACGGTTTCTACCACTCTGTACCGGACGGTGTACGCATCTATTTGATTACTCTCGATTTTGCATTACATGCACTCGCGAACATGAAAAATCGCTGGCTTTTAAATTTTCTTCACTAACTAAACCTCTTTACCTGGCATTCGTATACCAATAGTCTTGGTACATGCTTCAGTGCATGTGTGTGAGTGTACTGATAAATTATTATTTATTCATTACGAGCAGCTATCGAGATGGAAAAATTTAATGAAGCGAGGACCGATCGTCCCGTGTTGACCTCTGAAATGATGATAGATATCTTACCTATCCAACGTGTTCTTCATTTCTGCTGGCTTACGTGCGTCCTGTTTTTTTTTTAAGAGCGATTTATGGCATTCCTCGTGCTGCCTTGCGAATCTGAAGTATTTCGTGAACTTTTTCTTCTCGATTTTGTTTTCATTGTCAAAATTCAAATGTGCCGAGCCTTCCATTGGCTAAGAAAAATTTCACTTTTCAAATTTTTATTCAGAGCATCATTTTCTTACGTCAATGAACCCATTGAAATGACTGTATTCATGAAATCTGATAACTCTTTTTACATCAATAAGACATTGTTCCGTATCATTTGTTATACGCCTGATTTTGCAAGTACAAATAGAACGGAATACCCATTAATTCGTATAGCAATTAACGGGTATATATTATATAGCAATATAGCAATATTGCATTTGCATTGGCCACATGTGACAAAGCGCTCTTCAATCAGTGCGCAATAAAAAGATAACGATAACAAAAACGTTTTCACCATGTATGAGAACTTAACGTTTGAATAATCTACGTCAGTAATTTATTATCTATTTTACAAATATCTTTCACTGAAAAATATTTCAACGGTAATATTTGATTGGATGAATCGTTACAATATTACTCGACAAATTTAATCAGATCTTATACTTATGGAAAGTCTTTCATTTAAGATTCTTAGTGTCGCTTGAAGATTTAATTTTGCCGAGGGAAGTCCAATGGTACCGTGCGATCATATAGCTGTGCACGCTAATCTTTTCCAAGTAGAAATTATTTGAAAATTATGCTTTGCAAGACACATTTGCATGTGTAAATAGTTATTAATGTAAATACTTATATTGATCATGATGCACAAATTCTACTGTTGAAGGAATTTTTTTGAAAAATTTTTTCAAGTTTACGTACTCGAGATCAAGGAGTCTCCCAAGGAAATCATTTGACTTTAATTTTCACGGTTTACGTGAATTGAATATGAATTAAAAGTGCAATGTATGCAAACGCTAATATATAGCAAGCTGTTTCAACATGAATGTAGAGAAACTAATACCTGGTATTAACTCTAGCTTATAATTTATAATCATTTTCAATCTACAGTGCAAAAAAATAAATTACGTAGAATATTTATATAACGATAGTAAACTTTGTTCAAGCTATTATAAAAAATAACAAAACTTGGATTATAGAATTCCTAATTTTTCATTGTTATATTGTCTAAAGTTTATCAGGAAGAATTGCATATTATTGAATTTGATTATTCTCCTGTTGATGTAGATTAAAGCTTAATTTAATGAACCTACCGACGGAGAAGTAACTCTTTGTCGGTATTTGTGTGAAACCGAACGACACGGATTTATGGAATGCGTACTTTCACTTGAGTCTCAAAGACAAATTTGTTAAGAGAATGATTTAAACTAAATTCAAGGTTCTTATCTTTTATAATATATTATAATTTTTAAACTCATTTATTCTAAATGTGCAAAGTTTTCAAATATTTTTATCGATCTTACATTTCCATACAACTGGTAAAACGTTACTGAAAAATATTTCAATGCAGCCAATGCTCTTATCAATTTCCTAAAATACTCAAATAGATTGAATGAAATAATCATATGCAAACATATTAGGGTAAAGTTGAATAACCGAGCGAGTTACTGCTTTGGAGACATATATCCCAACTAAGATTCAAGGTATTTTTGCATGTAAACCAAAAAAAAGATATTTTCTCTTACTCTCATTTGAAGAATTAACGAATACCTAACTCTGGGATTATATAAATGTACACGTGTGAGAAAAATCCCCTGCCGCTCGCTCGCTCTCTCTTTCTCTCTCTTTCTCTCTCTGCACCTCAGAGTGCAGTTATTAGCATTCGTACAATTGCATGAGAAAAGAGAAAAATAGATGGTGAGTATGATTTTTCGGGAATACCATCAACGATAGCGTTTTCTACATGTATGAAGCATAGCATCAGTTGGCATCGAACCAATGCACAGACGTGTACACTTCGGTTAACCGCACGTTTCAGTCATTCGGGTAGTTGATTCGTAATCTAAACTTTGCCCCAACTTTTTAAAAGTTGGCTTAATGCAGGTTATTTTTATGTTGGCATTCTTGTAACCAGTTAAAATCAGCCACAGGCGTCGATGTCGTGCTATTGTCAAGTGGCCAAGAGAGAGAAAGAGAGAGCCCGCCAGGGGACACAATAGCCCACGGCCTACACGCCGTGGAATTTTGGAGAGCCCAGACGTACACGTACGTGAATATCGTGCATTGCTTGGTGTGCGTGCTGGTAGTAATAATATACTGCACTCTGCCGAAAGCCAAGAAAAACTTGTACAATCGCGCAGTGCTGCAGCACAACATATCGCTATTAATCCTCGGAGGGATTCTCACAGTGTTAGGACTTTGCCAACTGAGCGAGGAGTGCCCATTGAACGATCTGGCCATTCGTCTGTTGTGGCTGAGTTTGCAGTATTTCACCAATGCCACGGTATTTTGGCTGCACGCGCTAAGCCTCGGCATAACGCCGATGATAAGCCAGCTCTGCTGGATTTCCGCGAGTGAAAAGCGCGATAACGAGGATCGCAAGCTCCTTTTCTACGTGCTCGCGGCGTACGACGGAGCTTTGCTGCCGACAATAACAGCAGCGCTGTTCGAATTTGTACCACTAATACCGGGCGATCATCCTCTGAAGGCCAACTTCATCATCGAGGCTTCCAACGTACTCATGAGTGCGCCGTGGTTTTTCGGCACGCTGCTCGTCTGCTTCAATCGACTGGTCGTGCTCAAACTCTGCAGAACTCTGCAACCAGTTTTGTGGCTGGTTATAATCACCTCGTCCGCTCGAGCCGTTCACCAGCTGACAAACGGATTCAGCTGTACTCGCCGCGGAGCCGTGCCGTTCATCTGGAATGACGAGCACCAAAGTTGTTTGTGCCGTGCTTTGCCGACAAGAAACTCGACTCACCAACGCCGTGAGATTTCTTTAACTACGACACTCGTTGAATTTTGTCAGTTTCTTTCTTTGCATTCCACTCGCACACGCTTCATTGTGTATTTCATCAACAGGCACAGACTGATTTCGAAACGAACTTTAAAAAGCGTTGACTTTTTTCGAAGGAGATAATACTTTTTCTAAGCTATATTTCTGAGGTCATTTTAATTTAATTTTGTCTCTGCAAATGTGCTGGTTTCTTTAATTAGTTGTACGTAAAGATAAGGGACAGTTTTCTTCGCAACAGTGGACTACAGATTTTATTTTATAGATGTTTCACTTGTGACATTTGTGTGTGCATTACTAGTTCGTCTAATTTTACAAGTTTAATTTTTAATTGACAATTAGCGATAGCATGACTCGATTTTAATATTTACATTTTACAGACAATACTCGAAGATAGTAATCTTGCATTTTTTTCACATTCTTGTTAGTCAGTATTATAATTTTTATAATGTTGTATTATAATTATTCATATATATTATAATCGAGACAATTCAAACAGCTACGCCGTTAACTCTATCTAAATAGAGATGCAAATAAATTCAGTTAATTTAAATAATCCGGTTAATTGATGTGAATAAATTGTATTTGAGAGTATATTTCGTTAATGAAATTAAAATCTACAGTGTAACCTTTACTGTTAAATTAGTAGAAAATAAGGGAATAGAAATTAAAAGTTTAACGAAAAAATATGCTTTTAAGTTTTATTTATTAACCATAGAAAAATCGAAACATCCGTTAACAAAATATCAAGAACTATTGTACCATAAATCTTATAAATACTTTAACAGTCTCATGATAAGTTCATCATACTTGCAATTTTTTTGTAATTTGGCTTCAATGTAATTTTCAATTTTCTCGTCGACGTACATATGTTGGCCCGTGTTAATTCAACGTGCATTTCATTATACATGTTTATTAGTGCATCCCAATTGGCCTACAGGGTAATGGATCATTGTGACGTCACTGGCTAGTGTCCAATCAATCAACGGATAAGCGGATTAATCTGATTACTTGAACCACGAGCTGCAAACCACCACCTATGGGATTATAAACTTTTATTTGATCAATGATGTTTTCGCTTGGCAGCTTGCCCTCTGTCCATGTTAAATAATCGGTCAATACGCGTGATTTATGGAACTCCATCGATCATTGCCAACCAAATTTTTTCGTAAGCTTTTACGAGTATTAATTTACAATTTGATCAATATATTTTTAAACAAGTTTGATAAATGATTATTTATAAAAAACAACTTCACTTACACGTCAAGAAATTTTTTCACGCTCAACGACGCAACTTTCGTTACTCTTTTTCGTCTATCGTGCTCAAAGATATATTTCATAACTCATGCAAAAGTGCTTTGTTTTCGAAAAACTTTGCTCTTTGGGTTTTGAAAATAAGCCCTTTCTATACTTGTTACGAAATTTAATTTTCGACACTCCGTGCGGAAAGTGCGGTTTTCCCGCACGCTCGGTAAAAAACGTACGTTGAAAATCCATTCCACCCCACGCTTCGCTCGGGCGTAAACGCTACACGAGACTAGAATCTACTTTCCCGCACTTGTATCGTAATGTACTATATTCTATATACCAATAGCTATACCTATCTAATATAACCACACTCGGCCACAATCCTTTCTGGCCGTTGAGAATGAACGTCTATTTTGCTTTTCAGAAAATAACTATACGTAATATATATGTTTCTGAAGAGTGAAGGTAACAGTAATATGAGAATACTAGCGTTACTTAGCGATCTTTATTTGTTTTTTCTATTGTTTATCACACTGTTTGAATCATACACTAATAAATCATAGTGGTCATACACTAATCAGCGGTTTTCTATGGCTCCAGTGCTAGTACAACACTTCGACATCCTATGTTCTTCTTTTACCTTGTTGAAAACACCCCGAAACTTTCTTCAAATATTATATTTTCGTTCATAATTAGTTTCTGTTTCCTACCTGTTCATACCTCTTATTTTACAATGTAAACAAATAAAAATTTAATTTCCTGCATCTTATTTTATTCGCTTTTTCTCTTATTCAATTATATTTGAAGACGACACTTTTCATTTTATAAATTCCAATCAAATTATGGATACGTACTAATTATTTTAACGTAATTTGAAAAGATAATCTCTTATTTTCTTACAACGTTTTTTTTACGGCATATTTCTATTTTTGCAGATTATTATCTATATTAATTATTTCTAAATTGAATTTACTGCTGAATTTTTATTGATGAAATATAAATTTTACACGCACACTCAAATATATAATAAAAATATTTCGAAGCATACGAAAATTCAAAATTACGTGCTCACTTTTAGTATCAACTAATCACAACGTTAGATGTTGGCGACTCGTAATTGTTTTAAGATCGAAAAGCTAGAGACGATAGGCGCGCGTTGCGCGCTCTTATCTTTTTTTAGTACTTGTCATATTAATTAACATATTCAACATAAATTACTTTTTTAAAGATGGATTTTTCAATTTTTTTACTTATTCAATTGTTTTATAATTTATTAACAATAACTTATGCTAATTTTTGATAACTGAGTTATAGTGACTATAACAATTATTTATGTTTAAAAATTTCCATAAATCAAGAAAAAGATAAAGCATTGCACCTATAAGCAAATGAGGTAAACAAATACTGTAATATCTATATGCAATGATATATTTTATTCTTTGTTTTAAATAAGATGAATGAAAATATTATCGAGATGCACTGTGAGTCAATTTGTAGCACTGTAAAAAATGTTGTGATAATAGAAGAAACGAAGAAACAAGATTCAACATTTCTATAAAACAAAATGTATTCGGACCGGTGGTAAAAATTACTGTTTTAATTATCATATATATTTGTTGATATCAATAGATATTAAACCATATTATTGATGAGTTTAATTAGTATGCCGGTATATGGATTTTAGTTGAAAATATCCTAAAAAATTTGAATTTCCTGGAATTAATGAAAACGTAGAAATCATACCATCGTCGATGATTCAGAAAAAGAGCAATGCCGCTTGAAGAAATCCATTTCGCCTCCAAGGCACGTAGAAAATGAAACTTTGGTTTGTTGAATCTTAATTTACATATTAGATAATTGTGTGGATAATATTTATGTAGCGTTTGCATGGCGATCTCGGCTCATTGATTTCAAATTGCCAAACAGTAGTCCAAAAACTTTGAGCGAGCCGCTAGTCTTCGAAAGAAATTTCTGCGATAGTGTAATGGAAAACAAAGATGTTCCAAGCAGTGTTAAGCTTTGGTTGAAAATAGAATGACATATAAATTTTAATTTGCATCTTTTAATTATAAATTTCACAATACCGCGTTTGATAATTTGACATTTTAGACGATTTGTGTGTTGGCAATAGTTGATGTTCAAACTAAAGATTGACGATACTTGAAAGACTAAATAGATAAAGTATATTTTATAGATGTATTTGTGATAAAATTTGTAATAAAATGTGCAAATGCGTTTTATGCGGACGAATATGCGGGAATGTGCCGGCTACACACAGGTTGAAAGTTTGAGCGTATAAAAAGTAAGACTGTCCGTTATGACAGTGGCAAGAGAAGAATAAAAGGGAAGCATTGCAAGTGCAAGCGCAACACAATGATCAAATTGCGTATTCTTGGCTCCGAAATCGACGCGAGCCTCGCCTCGCGCGCAAACAGAGTGCGACTGGCAAAGGAAGTTTCGCGGGAAAGCCCGCGAGTTGGCGAGATAAGCGATATTTATGGAGAAAGTTTATCGTGTGGCGCTGAGCTAACGTTGATCAATGTTTCCGTGCTGTTTGATTTAAAAAGCCCCCAGGAGCATCCGCCGAACTTTCAAGCTCGATAAACTCTACCGTTATTTCGATTCTTAGATCACGTGCTATTGCTCTCCTTCTCTCTGCACCGCTTATCGAAAAAATATGTTCTATATGAGTGCGCAGCGGGACTTTTTTCTCGACAATATTATCTAGAATTAATTAATTTCCACGTTGCCATGACCCGACTCAATATATGCATTGAAAGTGAAGTGCGAGAAAAGAATAACATCCGCATCTGTCAAATGGCAAGTCAATAGTTGGCCGGAGGTCAAACCGCTCGCAGTTTGCTGTAAGCTTCTTGTGGCTAGGCTCATTATCGTCCAAGTTCCGACAGCCAGCGACACGAAGGCGATTGAACGTGAAATTATGCATTTCCTTGGAGTCGAGGGAAGATTGACGGCTTCGGAATTCGAATTGGAGTGGCTGCAGTATATATATATATATATATATATACGTACACATAGGCGTGAGTGTTCCTACTCTCGAGCGGCGCGAGTTTGACCCAAAAGCCTGCAGCCGCGGCGCTCTTTTGTCCCGTGAAGGAGCGGGCTGTGCGCGCGTCGCTCTTTGCATTCGCTGAATATTCATTCGCGAGCGACGCCCGCGTGTCGCGCGTATTTGAGAATTTCAAATGCAGCCGTGTGCGCGCTGCGAGAAAACGCAGCCCGAGCCTCTGCCCTTTTAATAAACTATATACATTTGGATGCCGCGCACCACGGACTTATAGCTGACTTGGGACGCGCTGCAAGCCGTTGAGTTGCGCTTCCTTCCCTCCGCGCACTCGCCGGTTTCCTTATAAATTGATCGTTTTCAAGTGCACGGCATTTTAATTAGCGCTACAGCGACGAGCGACGCCCGCGCGCACCTGCCTCCTTTCCATTTTGCTCGCTGCATGTTCATCCTCGAGCACGACTTTTCATCAATATGCATACCTGCTAATCGTTGTTTATTGTAACAACACAACAGTCATATTTCATAGCGCTGTACACCTTGCTTCCGTGTTGTTGTTGTCAAGCTTCCTAACTCAGCTCTTTTAAATTTTCCTTTTATCCAATAAGAAAGTTGATTGATTCGGTAAACGAAATTCAATTACAATAACAAAACACATTCAGATCAATTCCATAATGAATTTCTTAATTAGTAAATTGTTTTTTATTTTTATTTACTAATTTATAAATCATTGCTAAGAAAGTCATCGTTGATGGTATTATTATATTATTTATTAATTCGTATTGTTTATTCGATTGTACACAATTTCAATTCATCAATAATAATTCAATTTGAAGTTTTGCAGATAAAAAGTATGTCAGATATGTGATGAATGATAGATTGGAAAGAAAAATTATTTCATGTTATATGCAATTATATTGAAGAAAACAAAGAAATTAATATAGCTAATTTAAAATAGGTGATATTAAGTTTGAATGAAATTTGAATTTATCGTTTGTATACATAAATGAAAAAGAACCATGATTAATTCTGTCCTGTAAAAAAAACTAGTAATTTTTTTCATTTTTGTACGATATTCCTTATAACTTACAAAGTACTAGAAAAACTGTTAAATATATTGAAATTCCATCAAATTGATCTGCTCGTAGTCAAAAGGATTTAATGAAAAAAAATATTTGTGATAAATGAACTTATTTATTCAAGAATTGTACACGTATATTTGAATAACCAATAAAGTAATTATAAAAATATATGAATAATATTTAAAATTTTATGAAATTAAACATTTCATTTTTCATTATTATTTACATCTTGTTAGACACATGTTAATATAAATTTTGTCTGTGGAATTTTTTTGAACATTTCAAGTTACAATTAAAATATGAAATTTCATAGATAAAATATGTTACCAAGTGGATATTCGTCTACACAATGGCTACCTTTCAATGCTTTTTCCTGTCAGATTTTTCTCGTGAATATTTTCGGGATTCTCCTCTTCTGTCATCATTACGCCTTTTATCTCGAGAATCAGAATATTTTTCACTACTGTCGGAGTCACTTCCACTAGATTCACTCGAATCTATCTTAGATTTTTCAACAGTCTTCGATGATTTACTTGATTCTTTCCTCTTTTCATATTTTGCTGATTCGTTTTTATCTTCATATTTCCGTGAATCCTTTTTCTCTTTGTATTTTCTCGAATCCCTTTCTTTCTCTTTAAGTTTTTGGGAATCTTTTTCTCGTTCTTGATATTTACGCGATTCTCTTTCTTTCTCATATTTTCGGGATTCTCTGTCTCTCTCTTCATTTTTGCGAGATCCCCGTTCTCTATCTTCATGTTTGCGGCATTCTCTTTCTCTCTCTTCATTTTTGCGAGAAGTTCTATCTCTTTCTTCATGCTTGTGAGAATTTCTGTCCCCATCTTCGTGCCTTCGAGAATCTCTTTCTCTTTGTTCGTGCTTTCGAGAATCTCGATCGTTTTTATTATCGCTTTTCTTCGACTCTCGGTTGTCCTCATGTTTTCTAGATTCATTTCCGTATTTGCGTGAATCTCTCCTGTCATTATGTTTGTCCGATGCTTTTGTATCTTCATATTTGCGCCTTTTATTTTTCAAATCAGTGTCAGTGTCAGTATCACTGTCACTGTCACTATCACTGTCACTGTCACTATCACTTGAATCATCACTGCTAGATTTTTTACTTTTTTGCTGGTATTTCTGTGACTTTCTGTAAACTTTTTCAGATTTCTTTCGTTTTTCAATGTTTAGCTTATTGTAATTATTAACTTCATCCGAGTCAGTACTGTCGGAGTCACGACCAACTTTTTTTGAATTTTCCACCTTCTTAGAGTGTTTTTTAATTTTATTTCTGTCATCTCGTTTACGTTTTTTGCGAGTGTCATTGTCGGAACTACTGCTACTTTCAGAATCGGAATCGTTAGAGTCACTTACATGCTTATTGCTTTTCTTTTCCTTCTTCGAAGGTTTACGACTTTCTATTTTTCTTTTTTTCCCGTCATTTTTCTTTTTTTTCTTCTCTATCTTTGAATCAATAGAACTGTCACTTTCAGAATCACTATCACTAGAATCACTGTCTTTTTTAGATTTTTTTGAACTTTGAATTTTCTTTTGTGGTTTTTTGCGTTCTTTATGTTTGCGTTTTCTAGATTTTTTATTGGAATCATCACTACTGCTTGAATCACTCGATTCACTATTACTTGTTTCACTGTCACTGGAATCACTTTCAGAAGACTCAGATTCAGACTTGGTCATCTTTCTTTTCTTTTTCTTTAACTGCTTAGATTTTTTATCTTCGATTTTCACCTCTTGTTCATCTTTTTTGTTCTTCTTTGTAATCTCTTTGTCTTTTTTTGCAGGCAAATCATCCAAATCGTCTAGGGACGGACTGGGTGTTCGCACTAATTCATAAGTCTTTTGTTGTTCAACGGCAGCCTTTAGCTGAGCTTCACGCGCTCGCCGTTCCGGATCTAAGCTGGTTCCTTCAACGAAAAATTGCGATATTCCAAATGCTTCTCGTAATAATGAATTCTTTTGTTGATTTGCTTCAGCAATGTGATGAGTCTCTTGAATGATATCACGACGTAGCTCTTTAGATTTTTCGCCGGCTTCTTCGTTACGCATTAACGTCGCTCGATAAGCGGCAACTTTCGTCTCTACCTCCTCTTCTGTGTAACCTTGTTCCTCTAGTGTATCAGCTAGTTCTGTACATTTCAACTCAATCTTCCTTCTATTGGCGTGCTCGAGAATTTCCTTGTTTGGCAGCCTGTTGGCTTGATCTGTTTTGGGATCTTCTTTGAAGGTTCGCGGCTCACGTTTACGCACAACTGCACAATTTTTTTGTACATAGCCATTGGTTCCCGACCCTCTGGGCGTTTGTAAACCAATGCCGTTATACATTTTCGATAAATAATAACAAATAACTGAAAATATTTAACGTAATTCACTTAACAACAACAAGTCACAGCAAAGAGTTTGGTTAGGTTTTCGAGCACATCTGTATGCTACGTAGAGCAAGCCACGCCACCGTTCAGAGCAAGGAATAGGCGCTGAACGACGCGCGCGCAGGATGACGCTTCGGCTATTTCTCTCTCACTCTCCCTTTCGATCTATCTCTGTCTCTGCGTTCTTTCTTCAGCAGTGTCGTCAAACGTACATAGGGGGAGCCTCGAGTCTCAACCATAAACTTAGTTTTTGAAACAGTTTTCTACGCGTGTACGTATTATACAAATGAATTGGCGCGACTAAAATAAAAGAAAAAACGATGCTAATTTCATTCCGTACAAAATAAAATAATTGAGTATCAAAGAATAATTTATTATAGAATAATATTTGCTGAGAATGAAAAAAGATTTTATGAGCATCGACTTTTATCAGCGGATATATGGATAGTTGTAAAAAAAATAGATTATTAGGTAATGACATGTTAAAATTTCATATAGATTCTCACTGTTTTGTTCAAGGTTCTAAACGATATTTCGTTTAGAATATCATATACAATTGAAACGTTTTATTTATAATGATTTTATATGTAAAGCTAGCAAAGAGTTCTAAGAGAAGTAGATGGAAAGAAGTAGAAAAAATTGGATTGCTGGAGGCAATATATAATGCCATAAGGACAAAGTAGCAGCTCGTATAAAAGTTCTAGGGGCGGAAGGATAACGACAGCAATCTGCTCATCCGTCGGCCTGCGTTGTCTCAACTTCCTACCTCTACGCCGGGGATCCTTCTGGGGATTATAGATACCTATATACCGAATCTCCAACTCAGCATTTCTCATCTCCGCGCACTAACTATGCCATGCTCTTGTGAGCAAAAGTAGCAGCATCGGTCCAGCCTGTACTCTGCAAAAACTTCCGTCCGGTTACCATCGCACTCGAGCAATTAATGCCCACATAATCATTTTTCAAACTGCGCTCTTCCTCTAACTTATAATGTTCTTTGCACTCTTTCTCTTGAAGGTCTTCAATTTTCTCCGGAGATATTGTAGCAGTGCGCATAAACGCGCCCATACAGCTTATCAACTTCACTTGGCATCTATTTTATTTCATTCGAGGTTCACAATGAGTATAAACTTGTTTATTTCATTGCTTTCAAGTGCTCTCATAAAAATTCTCGATGTATCACTTATTATCTTTCCTTTAACGCAAATAATTTACTTGACGCAAATATTCCTATTGAGATATTAATGAAGTTGGATCGATTATAAAAGCTGTTCGTGCATTGAAAACAGTAAACATTGAAGAATAATTGTGATTTCAAAAGCTCACATTTCCCAAATTCTAGGACGCTTCGTGAGTCTGTCGACGTATGTTTATTCCCCAGGTGTCTTTGCAACACGACAAAACCCGATTGTCGGTTCCATGTCGCATATAAGATGATCGAATTAACGGTAGCTAATGTTGACACTGACATACATTGGCATAGTGAGCTGTTTATTGCAAATGAGGGTGAGTCGACGAAACAAGACGTAAGAGATTAAAGAAATGCCGAGTGACCATACAGTTCGGCACAAATTTGGCAAGAGCAATATTCTTTTAACTTAACCAGTAGTTTTTCGAAAATATGGATAGTGCCGATGTTTTAATTAGATAAATGCTTTTTTAGATCTTTATATTCAAAAAAGACAGTCTTACATTTTATGATAATATTGCTTGAAGCAGCACCGCGTGCTGCAGTGCTGCTGAAATACTAAAGTTCCAGCAGCAAATTGAAAAATGAATACGTTAGTATTTTATGTCGACGCTAGAATGGGTTCAACTGATTCAAAGAAAACGACTGTAATATTCTATTGGCTAAAATGACTGAGTCGAAAAAATGCAAAACAGATTATGGACAATCTACTTTAATACCAGTTCATTATTGAAATCGTTAGCGATGCAGTTTTAATATTATTCATCGGCTAAAACGTAACAATATATTGCTGTATTCACTCAGACTGACGTTGTAGTTGATTACACATTACGATTATCAATGTAGTTTGAATAATAATTGATTATTAGCGACACTCAGCTGTTTCGTAAAAAAAATCTATGAAGCCGTTGCCAGCAAAGCTTACGGAGGTCGGAGTAACAGAGTAATGATTCAATGAATCTTGAAAGCGTCAGTGGAGGAAATAAAACAATTGGGTTTTGGGGAGGAGGGGGCAAACCGTTTGAAATAATTAAAGAGGCAAGGTTAACGACGCAGCGGGGCAGACGCGTAGTTAAAAGAGAGCGAGAGCACTGGATGGGTTGTGCAGTTTAACGCGAGTTCCAAAAAAGCCTTCGGCCGTAAATCAGCGCGCATTCAAAAGGAGAAGAGCGCGCAGCTCGCTTAGGTAACACGTGCGAACAAATGTTTGAATTTACAAATGCCGCCCGTGTGCACACATGAGGCCGCGCGCGCGGCGCGGCCGAGACATGTGGCTCTATTAATAAACGGATAGCGCGACGGAGGAGGGTAGGCGCTGATGCAGTTCAGGGAATATACCGCGCGAGGCGCCTGGCATGCGCTGCGCTGCCTGCTTTAAATTTTATTGCGGCCGACATAAAGGTGACGAAAGAAGTGCAAGCCAGAAACGAATTGCGCGCGGCTTGTGCGAAAAATGAGCGAGACGCGCGCAGACACGAGCTCATCCGTTTGCTTCGCGCACATCCTTTTGAAGCTGCATTTTTTCACATATTTTTCTCTGCTTTTTAGCTTGCAAACCGATGTAATACAAAGCGACTTTTTCTCACTGTTTTCGTACTTATTCGAATTGCACTTTGACGGATGAAACTGTTCAGTCGATGACCGAGATGACATTTCGAGACTGTTTTTAACTGAATTTTTAACACTTAGCAATTGTCAAAAGAGATCCGTCGTACGAGTATTCGAACGTTCGTCCATTTTTTAATAGCATGACAGAGAGAGTAATTGAGTTTTTGCTTCTTGTTGTGTTCGCTCGATTCTGCGGACATCTTTATTCAGGCTTATCTTCCGTCAGCGCATCCTTTGAACGTTCTCTTTGCAATTGGAATTTGTAAAATTTTAAAGTTAAATTAAAAACCTCTGCAGTCTCAATTTGAAAATGAATTAGATTTTGGTGGTACTTATCGGTAACTTGTAATATTGCTTGGTTCAATACGAGTCGTCCCGCCGAGTGGTCGAACGAACTTCCGAGTTAATAAAGAATGCCGATAGCATCAACCTGGAGGATTAAAATCTTGAAATGACATTGGCCGTAGCGTCGGGGCAAATGAAATAGAAAATGGCAAGCGGGCCCCCCGGTGGCGTGCAGTCCAAAGATGACATATCGGGCGCGCTGCAAGCCCTTCGTCAGCGAGCGAGCTTTAGATAGGACTCGTGCAATAGGCCGGTCGTCCGGTCGTCGGCGGCAAATCGGAAACGGGCTCCGATCCATCTCGGCGCGCGCGGCGCACCCTCGCAGTTCGCGGGGATCGGGCGTACGTCTTCGTTATATATGGTGCGCGCGGGCGCGTGCGTGTCCCATTAAAATGCGCGCGCGTTGGCTTTTGTGCGGCTGCCACTGTTTCGCGCACTCACGTCGAAAAGACACGTGAGCCGGGGACACGAATAATAGCGTTCGCCCGGAATGGGAATTTTAATCTATACTCGCGCGCGAATCGTATCTTTGCGAGCTGCTATGTGCTCGTTTGAGAGAGCGGCGCACCTTAAATAACCCTCGCGCATTGTGGGACGTCGTTAAGGGCGCAGCGACTGTCGCGGGAGCGCTTCATATTAATGACTCGGTAGTTTGCAGTGACACCGACACTCGCAACTGCAGGCTAAAGCCCAGGGGTGCTCCGTTCGTCTCTCGGCTTGCTTGCTCGCGTCTCGCGCGATATGCACGATAGTCCCTTGCTATTTGTAACCACGGCGATCTTTGCTTGCGGGTATTGTGCGCCTGCCACCGCGCCTCTCGTCGAAGAAAAACTCTCCGTGACGTTTAAATTGCAGCTTAGTCGGACGCCGTACGCCGCTCTGATTTACAATCACAAAAGTAGATCCAAATCAAATGTTTTACGCTCGCGTCGCTTTCTATTACAGATCGAGGGCAGCTTTGCTGCGTCCTTTTATTGCCTAATTTTCTGGCAAATTTTGCAAATGTCTGTAACTCTACGAAGTTGCACGGAGAAAAACAGGCTGCGTCGCTAGCGACGTTGGCGAGGCTTGCACTAACTGCCATCTTAAACAGAGTGTCATTTGCATATTCAAAGGCACTGAATCCTCTCGATGCCGACCAAGACGCCTGGCAAGGGTAGTTTGTTAAAGAGCCAATGCCTAACTGTTCATTACCAAGCGACGCCGTCTCCGCCCGCACCACTACCACCATCATCTCGCTCGCCCGTTCCTCTCGACCCTTTCTTAGTATGCAGCAAGAACTTCCGAATCAGACTGCGTAACTAATACCAACTCCCAACTGACGTTGCAATTAATGACAATTATACGAGCGCATCTTTTCAGCACCTCTCCACTCGACTTTGGATATGTAAACTTGCTTGCTACTCCCATTGCTGCCGGGCTAAAGTCTTCAACAATTTTCAATCACTTGACGTTGTCCATTAGTTAATGAAAATTCCTAATTGCATTGTTTGCCAAATGTCTGAATCTTTCAATAAAGTTTCGCTGCAATTGTCATTCACGAAGGAATATTCAGATAGAACCTACGCGTTCAAGAAACTTCGCCTGCTTGCCAGTTACAAACAGTTTCTATTGGCCAACTATATAGATATCTAATAAGTCGAGTATGAGGCTAAGCTACCAATCTATTTCAAGTTTTCTCCAACTTTATTGATGTATCGCTACCCTATAAAATCCACTTTATGCATTACACTTTTTTCACACTTCGTTTTTCAAATAACTTCGAATAACTTAAATGACGGTTCAGCTCATTTCAATACTGATAAATGTTTCTGAGCAATTTATTCAAGTACATAATTTATTTGCTTAAAATAAATTTTGTATAAACGATTTTTTTACTTATCAAATCACAGTAAATTTTTTCAAATTTATGACTAAGTTTTTAGATTATTAATTGCTGCGTGACCAGGAGCTATAACCAGGAAAACATGAATTTTCATGGGTTTGAAAG